GGATTGATGGCTCTTGCCATGAAGGGTCCGAGGCCTCCTACAGACGGACTCCCACTCAGGGGAGCCCAGCTCAGGGGAGTCCCCACTGGGCACTGGGCGGGTGGGCACAGGTACCTGGGAAGGTCATCAGCACGTCACAGTTCTCCGTGGGCACAGTCTTCATCCATGCCTTGTGGGATATTAGGTATCGACCTGCTTGCAGGAGCCGCTTCCCAAAAAGCTTATCTGGGGGGCAGGCAGGTTAGGCCAGAATCAGGCTACTCCCAAACCAGGAGCCTGGTTTCAAGCCCTTGCCCTGCTCACACACTAGCCAGGGCTCCTGAGCACTCAGCCTGACATTCAAGGCCCCGTGAGCTCTGGCTTAGGCTTGTTTCCTTCCCTTCATGTCCTTGCACCAGAGAGCCCTCCTTCAGGAGTGTCCTTCCGTCAGGCCCTCCTTTACAAATCTTACTCATTCTTGAGGCCCAGCTCCGCCTCCAAAACCACAATCAATGGGGTGCTAACTCAAGCAGCCCTGAAAGCTTTACCACATTATGTCAGCGCGTCCTCACAGTTGGGTGCGGTTCTTACCTCCAGTTCACAGGTGGGGAAACTGAGGCCCAAAGCATTTAAGTCACGCGCCCAAGGTCACACAGCGGAGCTGGGATTCGAACCCAAGACTCTATGATTCTGTTCTCTCTGTGGAGAGGAACTCTCAGGCGCACCCCTGCCCAGCCGCGATCCGGTAGCCCAAAGGGTGACGGGGCTCTGCCACGAGCCTGGGCTCTGGGAGGGGCGTGTCCGTATCTCTGCTCTGGGACCCCCGCCGGCTGCACTGTCCCGCCGGCGCTTGCCCAGCCGCAGTGTCGGGAGGAGCCAGCCCCTCGACTGGGCTCCAGGCTGGGGACAGCTGATTCCAATCCCCCTCCCGGTACAGCCGCTGTCTGCATTACAGGCACCTGCAACCCTGACAAACCCAGCCGCTGCACACCTACCTAGAACTCCGGACGCCGGGGCTGCAGGCTCGCCCTCTGGCGGGGGCCTCTTGCCGCGCTCGCCCTCCAGGGACGTGCTCCCGGCGCCGGAGGTGGCCTCGGCCATGGCGAGGGCAGAGCAGGTCAGGGGCTGCGGGCGGCCGGGGCTCCTGGGGGCCTCGGACGCATGGGGCCGGTGCAGCGGCAGAACGCGCGGGAGGAGTAGACAAAGGCCGCGCCCGCCCGCGCCAGCCGCGGTCCCCGCTTGCCTGAGCTCTGCTTCTCGTCCCCGCCCGCGCCGAACCTCGAGTCTCCTGCTCGGCCCTGAGCACGTCGCTCTGGGGTTCTCGACTCCGCCCTTGTTGTTTTCTGGGTTTCGTTCTTGCCCGCCCACCTCGCTCTCTGGTGCTCGTTCCCGCCCGCACGGAAGGTGCTTTCCCCTCCTTGTCCCCGCCCGCGCCGGATTCCAAGTCTCGGTACTGGCCGCCCCGGACTCCCTGTCTGAGTCTGGAAAAGGCACGTTTGGAATCTGAGGTGGTCTTGATTTGACTACAACTAAACGTGAGAGGGGGAGGGCTAATCCGGAGAGATATCAGGTAACATTAACCTCACCACAGCTAGAATGTGAATAATTATAGGAGGTCCTGCTTCAGGACACTGCCTAAGACACCCTTCACCTCCTCTTCGTCCAGTTCACCCCTACATCCTTCAGGATGTAACCGTCTCAGAGAGGACCGAAAGTTGCCAGTTTACCAAGTAAAAATAACAGTCCTCCCAGTTAACCTAAAAATAAAAGTCCTTTCAAAGTGAGAACCAAAAAGTGTGTATTTTTCTTTGATATCAATAAGAATAGCTATCCATCCTGGATGGACTAACAAGGGCAGAAGCCCGAATAGTGTAGCAATTAGGAAACAAAGGCAATGGGTATTTATGAGAAAGGGAAGGGGAACAATTATATCAGTAAAAGGAATGAATTTCTATTGGTGCAGGAAACATAACAGTGATGTTAATTCTAAACAATGTTTTAAAATTTCAGTCCAGCAGTCATAATACCTGCTTTCTTGTTATCCTGGCAAACAGTTCTTTGGGAAACAAGGTAGCTCAGACCCAGTTCGAAGGTTGTTTTACCCCATTTTAACGTCCCAAAGGAGGCATGAGACGGTGCAAGGCAGTTTCTCTGAGATGGCAGCTCTGGCTCCATTTTAAAGTGGCTTTGTTTATACTATTTTTTACAAATGTGAATTTCAGATAATTGAATAAATTTTTAGTATTTCTCAAATATTATATGGGACAAAACTTTATTTATTGTTTATCTGAAATTCATATTTAACTGGGCAACCTGTATTTTCTCTGGCACCCGGACCCCTGCCCATCTTGAGTTGCCTCCTCCCTTAGAGTTCAGCCAGGGTAGGGTCTGGTTTTCAGAATGCGCACAGTAGGCGCTTGACGTATGCTTGTAACAGATGGAGCAACTCAGAGACAATAAATGTCATTGTTCCTCTTCTACAAATTTAAAAATTGAGCACGGCGGGACAGTGAGGGGGCGGGGTTGAATTAGAACTCTAGCCCGACAAACCAATTCATCCCAAAGGGCAAGTGAACCGCCCGCCCGTTCCGTCCAAGAACCAGAGAATTAGCCCTGCAAAAGCGCTCTCGAGACCCCTCCCAGCCAGTGCCTGGAATTCCACCATCAGCGCTTTATTCCAATGTTTAGCCCTCTCCTGGGTTAACCTGAACGTAATTTCCGAGACTCCTCTTTCTGGTTTTCACCAGAGACAGATGATACTCAGCTTTGTAGGAGCAGCCCTAGGCCAGGGAAGCCCAGAAAGGAGAGAGTGCTGTGCCGACGGTACCAAGAAAGGTTCCTGGCGGAGGGGACCTTGGAGCTAGGCCCCGAGAATGAATTTGTTAAATGAGAAAGGGTATTCCGAGGAACGGCGGGAGGGAAAGCTGGGGAGGGGCGAAAACCTGGAGAGTTCCGAAAAAACAAGCAGGCATCTTCCCAGAAGTTTGGACAAGATTTCCCCAGGGCCAGTGTGTGGGTTCCTCGGAACTCATCCTTCCGAGCCACTGAGATGCTCTTGCTTCGCTTAAGGATACAGATGGCCAGATAGAAAACACAGGAATCGAAACCTCGCCTCGCTGTAATTCCCACCGCCCTGTGCCTGCCTTCCTCCTGCCCCTTATTTCCACTGTCTTCCATCCCAACCTCTCTAGGATCGTAAAATTCGGTCTAATGTTGTTGTGGGGAAAGCTATTTCGCTGCACCGCTGAGTGCAGCCCCCAGCCTCCTTCCCTGGTAGCAGCCAATAGAAACAAAGATCTTCACTGGGTGGGCGGTACGTCTTTAGGGGTCCAATGGTAGTCGAGAACAGTTGAGCATTTTACCAGTCACGCCGCTGAGTGGGCGGGGCCTCCTGCCAGGACTTGAAGCCTCTCAGGCAGGGTGGGCAGGCGGATCGCTGGCTGTGAATCCATGTGGCGGGTACCCTGGACCCTGGTAGCCCGGGCGGCACGTGGGCCTCGCAGGTGGGGTTACCCGGGAAAGGGGTGAGACAGTGTGGGGCGCTACTTGGGCCCCAAATTCTATCCCTGGAGCCTGGGGACCCAGTTTCCTGCGGCATAACCACCTTTCCAGTTCTTCCAAACCCCAATTTCCTCATCTTTCTGTCGCAGAGCCCTAGGTCACCCGGCTTCAGAGTCCTCAATCAGGTCACCCTCTGGTCTCAGTCCCTCCCAACTTGTCTATTCCCGCAGAGCCTCCGAACCCTTGATCCCTCTGCCACACTGCGGCAGAGCCTCCCAGATGCACTAACTCTCTCCTCTCCTGTCCCAGACCGTGCACGCGCCAGGGCAGTGGCTCCTCAGCCCCCAGATCCGGGTCCACCATCTTCGCGCTGAGCTCGGGTCAAGGTCGCTGCGGCATCGCAGTGATTCGGACCAGCGGCCCCGCCAGCGGCCACGCCCTCCGGAGCCTCACGGCGCCGCGGGACTTGCCCCCAGCCCGCAGCGCCTGCCTGCGTCTGCTCAGAGACCCCTGTTCTGGGGAGCCGTTGGACCGCGCGCTAGTGCTCTGGTTCCCAGGTGAAGGGCTCCTGTAGTTCCCATGAACCCAGTGTACCCCCTCCAGGCCTTTGCCCAGGCTGTGCTCTTCTCTGACTCCTCGCCACGCTAGGTCCCCAAAGTTTCACGGGTGAGGACTGCGCGGAGTTCCACGTACATGGAGGCCCGGCGGTGGTGAGCGGCGTTCTGCAGGCCCTGGGTGAGTCTGCAGCTTTGGGTTCAAAGTCTGGCTCTGCCAGTAGACCTGGGTGAGGACCATGGGCTCAGTACCCAGGACCGTCCCGCAGGCAGAGTGCCAGGACTAAGGCCAGCGGAAGCGGGCGAGTTCACCAGGCGGGCCTTTGCTCACGGAAAGCTGAGCCTGACCGAGGTGGAGGGGCTGGCGGATCTGATCCATGCCGAAACTGAGGCGCAGCGGCGGCAGGCCCTCAGGCAGCTGGATGGAGAACTGGGTCACCTCTGCCGTGGCTGGGCTGAGACTCTCACTAAGGCAAGTCCATTTTTTCCCATTGTATGCCTCAGAGACCCCATTTGTCCATCCCCTATGAGCCTCAGTCTGGCCCCTTAGGTTGGGCTGGACTTGGGCAAATGGGGGGCTGGGTTCCTGGGTGATCACAACACCTCCCTTCCCTCCCTCAGGCTCTGGCCCATGTGGAGGCCTATATTGACTTTGGGGAGGATGACAACCTGGAAGAGGGCGTCCTAGAGCGAGGTGGGTCTGCCTGTGGGTGGGGAGTGGGGATACCTGACATCTCAGCCCCCAGAAGCCCCCTCACTCCCTCCCTTCTGCTTTCCTCCATCCATAGCTGACAGCCAAGTGCAGGAGCTGGAGGTGGCACTTGGAACACATCTTCGGGATGCCAGGCGCGGGCAGAGGCTCCGCTCAGGAGCACACGTAGTGGTCGCTGGACCCCCTAACGCCGGCAAGAGCAGCCTAGTGAACCTGCTCAGTAGGTGGGAGGTGGGCAGGGGCAGGGCCTACTGCTAGGGGCGGGGTCAGGAGCTGGGGAACCGAGCTGTTCAGCTGTGGGGAAGGGGCCAGGGAGGACCAAAGCTCTGTCCAGCTTGGGGCTGGAGCTTGGGGGAGGGGTTCCCTCATCTTCACTGATCACACCTTTCTCTGACCCCCTCCCCCTTCCCAGGCCGGAAGCCTGTGTCCATCGTGTCCTCGGAGCCAGGGACTACCCGAGACGTGCTGGAGACTCCGGTGGATCTGGCTGGGTTCCCGGCACTCCTAAGCGACACAGCAGGGTTGCGGGAGGGCATAGGGCCAGTGGAGCAGGAGGGTGTGCGGCGTGCTCGCAAGAGGTGGGTGGGCAGACAGGGAGGTGGTAGCAGGAAATGGGCCCTTCCTCTCCCTTTCTCTGTATTGCATGTATTTTTCTTTGTTCTTGAATCACAAAATTAAGTGAGGAGCCCGTGATTTGGGGTGATTTGGGGAGGGCAGCCATTAGATTTTGACCTCTGCCCACATGCTCTGCCCCATCTTTCCCATTCTTCCTGGCCGTCTTGCTCTGCTCGGCTTCCAATGCTCTACTCGGCTTCCAATGCTCTACTCCCTCTCACATTCCCCCCAGCCCAATGTCCTTAACTGCCATATTCTAGGGTCATTGCTCAGTTGGTTCTCTTTGCTCCTCCAGGCTGGAGCAGGCTGACCTCATTCTGGCTGTGCTGGATGCCTCTGACCTGGCCTCTCCATCCAGCTGCAACTTCCTGGACATGGTTGTCAGCCCTGCAGGAGCCGAGAGCCCCAATGGGAACAGACAGCGTCTCCTGCTAGTGCTGAACAAGTCAGACCTACTGCCCCCTGGGGATCCAGACCCCAGTCCGGACCTTCCTCCACATCTGCTCCTGTCCTGCTTGACAGGGGAGGGGCTGGACAGCCTCCTGGAGGCACTGAGGAAGGAGCTGGCTGCAGTGTGAGCCACCCCTTCCTGCCCCTGCAGCCTCCCTCTACCCAAGTTCATGAGGGGGCTAAGCCACGGGCTCTGGGACACGTACCTGACTGCAGACTTAGTTTTTGTATCTGCAGAATGGGTATGATTCATCCCCGCCCTTTGAGTGGTGGTGGCAAAGGTTAAGAGCATGTTCTTTGTTCCTACCAGGTGTGGGGACCCATCCACAGGCCCACCACTTCTGACACGTGCAAGGCACCAGCATCACCTCCAGTGCTGCCTTGATGCCCTCGGCCACTACAAGCAAGCTAAAGACGTATCCCTGGCTGCTGAGGCACTGCGGGTTGCCCGGGGGCACCTGGCCCACCTCACTGGTGGAGGGGGCACTGAAGAGATCCTGGACATTATCTTCCAGGACTTCTGTGTGGGCAAGTAAAGAGACCGCTGAAATTTGGACCAGGCTGGGTGGGCGCTCAGAAGCTTTGAGGCATCTGGGAACAGCTTAGGCCAAGTGAGATTCTTCTCTCCTCAGGGAAGAACTTGACCCCAAAATGGTGAGTGAGCTCCCTGTTGCTGGCAATGACCAAGCTCTAGCTGGTCACATTCCCTTGCAGGGACTTGCTGGGGGTTCAGGCCCTGGAGTGGGGCTGAACAGAGGTCTTTTGGGGCACCTGATGCCAGAGGAATAACAATGGAGGGTTGGGAGGGAGGTAAGAGGGTCTTAGGGGTCTTTGTTTCATAGTTTTTAATTTATTTTGCAAATACCAAAGAAACATAAAAAACTTAGGTGATCTAGAAATGTTTAAATGTGGAAATCCACCCCCACTGGGGTCATGGCTTAACTTGTGTCCTTTTAGAACTTTCTCTTGAATGTATGCATACTTGTGGATGCACCTGTAAAAGACAAAAAAATTTTGTCTTGTATTTTCTATATACACTGTTTATTTATTGCTCTGCAAGTTGTCATTTCTTTTTTAGTATTAATCTCGAAATTTGCTTCTTGAACCTTAAAAGTGGCTTGTAAAATCCCGAGGCTCTACTCCCTCTCCAAGCTTAGTTTTCATTGATTCATTCATTCACTCAGTGAATATTTATCAAGCAGCCTGTATAGGCTAGAATTGTACATGTCATTTTGGTGGATTTTCATAATAGCACAATGTGGTGTGCATTTTGTTACAGTTCTATAGATGAGGAAACAGGCTCAGAGTCGTAGTAGGTTGTTGGAGATCTCAAGCTTTGGGATTTGCACATAGGTCTGTTCAACTCTAATTTGAGTTCACTGTAGGCCTTCTGTGCAACAGGCCAAGTGTAGGGTGCTGAGAACGTGGAGAATGAGCAGGCATCACCCCTGCCTTTGTTAGAGACATAGCTACTTCCAGTGAGGTCCGATGGCTGCTGTGCGAACTTACAATTAGGAGACCTGACCTGGTCAGGGACTGTGGGCTAGCTGCCCTGCAGCGGTGGCATTTATGCTGACATCTGAATGATGAGAAGAAGGAAACCAGGTGGAGGAGGCTCATGAGTGTCCCAGGCAGCAGGCACAGCATGTGCAAAGATCCCGAGGTGGGAACATCACGGTATGTTCAAGGAGCAGTGAGGTGGCCAGCGTGTCTGGAGCAGAATGAGTGAGGAGAAGACAGGTGGGAGGTGAGTTGGAGGAGGAGAGGAAGGGCCTGTTAGTGAGGCCTTTAATTTTGAGACTTATGGGGGGCCTGCTATAGTGGTGACAAACCAGCAGAGGGCGCCTCGCTCTAACAAGGGAGATGCCTGTCTGTTCTCTATCAGAACTCTGGCTGCCTAGGGTCCCAGAGATCTAGGGTCCCAGGGAGCCAGGCTTCCACACCCACCTGGCAGTGTGTAAATGGTCAACTTCCCTTGCCAGAGGCGGAAACTGAGTCTCAAATAGAGTCAGGATCTTTTCCAGAATCAGAAAACTGTTTCCACCTCCCACGGTTGAAGATACCACCTCAGGCTCCAGGGGACACATGAGCAGAGGCTGGGAGGTGTCCAGGCCCCACAAAGGAGGTCTTCAGGAGGTGCTTACCACCCAACTAAAGGGGAACCCCAACCCCAGGTCTTCACGGACTTCATTGCAATATGTCACTATTCGTTGAATTCTTTGCTTATTCAACAGCTGGGGTTGCCCCTGAATGGGGGTCTCTTGGAGGGAAAGGGTTTCTCATGAGCCAGGTCCGTGGATATCACTATCATGCTCATTTTGCAGAAAAGCAAACTGATGCCCAGAGAAGAAAAGCAATAATGTGAATCTAGTGAGTTTGGGTATCCAGATGTCATAGTGTGAAGAGGGTCCAGAGGGCTCCCAGAAAGGGTGAGTAGGGTCCGTGTAGG